GTTTTCTTATTAAAATTATCTTGACATTGCTACTTTTTAAACCACAATATGATTACCGACTTTTATTGCCTTTATCTTTTTTCTCGGCGATTTTTGTTTGAAGATAATGTCGTCATCATTTATAGTTTTACTAAAACTGTATTAAACCCTTAATTATTTTCTCTGATTCACAAGCAATGAATAATTTGATTTTATGCCTAGTTTTAATTGAAGATCGCTTGCTCATTGTTTAAATTGAAATAGGAAGAAGTTAATTGTTGGCTTTCTTAGGGAATTCAAATATTTTACAAAAAATATAAACCCCCTTATTTTGCCCGATTTTTATTCTTATGATAAATTGTTAGAGAAATTTAATTTGATGCAAAATAAATCTCAATATTAGGTTATATTCCTAAATTTGAGAATATGTTAACATCCAAAATCACTTGAAAACTTTTCAAATTGGGTGGGAACAAGGCACAATTTCTAATAGCAACGTCGGTGATTGTGGTGAAATGTTGCGGGCTTTGATTTTGGGCCTATTCACTTCAGCTTAATTTCAGTTCAGTTCACTTCAATTCAATTCAGCTCTTAATTTCCTTCCCTCATAAAATATTCATTTCAGCTCACTTCAGCTCAGCTCCAATCATTTCAGTTTAGCTCACTTTAGTTCAATAAATGTGAACATACCCATTTTTTTTTTTCCATGAGAAGTTCATGTTTTATTTTTAATGATTCATTTAAGTTTTCTATCCTAAGACTATCCATAATGGATAGCTGCATCCTTTATAGCTTTGGTTTAGCATGTCAAATTACTTAATTTAAGCCACAACATTTACAATGGCAAGCTACTACCATTTACAAAATTAAAAAAAAAAAGAGAAAATAAATGCAATTGAAGAATTCACAAACAATATTTTTTCAATTAGAGACAATACAAACTAATTCTTTAAGGACTTGTTTGACACTGTTTTTGGTTTTTGATTTTCGGTTTTATGTGTTTTTGAAAACAAAAAACAAAACAGGAAATAAAAAAAAAAGTGTTTTCACTATTCTGTTGTTATTTTTCAAAATTATCATGATTTTAATAAATTTGACTAATTTTTTATTCATTATATGATATATATCATATGATTTTGAAAAACCAAAAAAATAGAAAACCATGGCGATGCCAAATGAACCTTAATTTCCGTTTTTCATTTGGGTTGTTGTTGTGCCCTTCGAAGAGAAGGGAAGGAAAATGAAGGGATGAGGTATTTTTCATTTGGATAACAAATGAGGAAAGAAGGCAACTGAAAGGGAGATTCCTTCCCCTCCTTTTTCTTCCTCTTTTAGCATCCAAACACACTAAATAAGTTGGGTATTGTTGGTATAAAATATTAATTTCTTTTGCTTTCCACAATTATTTCACAACTTCTACAATCTGTTTAGATAACAATAGTTACGGCAATGGGAAAGGAATGAAATAGAGGGAAGAGAAACGGAAGTAAGGTGAGGGAGAGAGTTGACCTTCCATTTTCCCTTTAAATCTCTCCAACAATCTAATGAGAAGGAAGATGGATCCCTCTCCTCCATTATCTTTCCCTTCCCTTGCCTTATGTCATATTAAAATCTATACATATACTAAAGTGATCTCCAGATTCAACACTTGGCAAAATTTTGTGAAATTTTTTTCCTCCAAAGTGCTACTTATTATTTTTTTACAAAAATTAAATTCTTTTAATAATTTTTTTTATACATATGCAACACATAAAATTTTTAAGGGCATATATTAAATAAATTCATACTTCAAAATAAAAAAAATTAAATAGTGGTACATAAGTCATTTAATTTCAATTAACTCCATTTCAATTGACTATTATTATTAATAATAAATTTTAGGATTTTTTGTGAAAAACTACTTTTTATATACAACTTTTTGTGAAAAACTACCTTTTAAAAAAATTGTTGTAAATGACTACCTATATTTTAAAAAATGTTGTAAAAAACTACCTATTACCGGAATTCGGTTGTTGACCTTTGTTGCCGGTGTTGACCACCCATATGCCACTCACATGACCTTTAAATTTTTTTTTTCTTTGTTTTTCTATGCACCACCAGCTACACCACCACCCCACCACCACAACACCTCAACCCACCTCAAAACACCCCGGCCTACACCTTCATGCATCCCAAAACCAACACAACCCCACTTGAAACCACCTCCAGCCTGTCGAATCTAACACATCCAAACCCACACTACTTCGCAATTCCGCGATCCTCGCAGTAGCACCTTCCCTTTCTCGTAGCAGCACACATTCCCACGCCATCACCGCACCACCACCCTCTATCTCTACCTCTTGACGCCACCAACAATAACACCAGCACACCTGGCCCCATTAAGCTACAAGTAGCAGCCATACTAACCACCATCCCAACCACGGTACACTAACAACAATAGCGCAACAATCAAATTAAAAAATACATTATTGTAAATTCCTCTCACAAACTTCAAACTTCCCTAAATTCAAACCACAATTGCACTAGTCTCCGGAAGGAAAAGCCATCGCACCTGCATCAAATTCGCAATCACAATCAATACATAAAAACACAATTGCTTTAAACATTCAATTTTCGCATATACCTCACAATTGAAAAGGGGGTTTGCACGAATTAAGCAAAATAAACATGATTTTTAAGGAAAACATACAATAATTGGAAGGAAATTCAACAGATTGGGGTTAAATTGGAGAAGAAATCGAGAAATTAGGGTTCTAGGGTTACAAAAAAGGGCTGAATTAGAGGAATTCGTGAAATTTGGGGGAAAATGGGTGGGAAAAGGGTCATTAAAGGGCACGTGCTACTCACGTGACTAAGTCAACGCCGACAAAAAAAGTGAACGACCAGATTCCGGTAATAGGTAGTCTTTTACAACATTTTTTTAAAAAGAAGTAGTCATTTACAACAATTTTTTTAAAAAGAGGTAGTCATTTACAACAATTTTTTTAAAAGGTAGTTTTTGACAAAAAGTTGTATATGAAAAGTAGTTTTTCACAAAAAATCCTAAATTTTATTATTATGAATCCATGCATTGCACGATGCCAAAACTAGAGAAATTATATACCTCTGTCACGAAAGTTTTACTGGATAAAAATATACAACTAGGAATATTCCCTTCTTCTATCCATTTTACTTAACCACCAAAATTACAAAAATTTAAATTCCCCATGACTATACACTTTATCTAGAATTCCTCGTTAATGTATAATTCACCAAACTTTAACAAAACTTAAAATTCCCTATGAATATACACTTTTACCTAGAATTCTTCATTACTAATGTTTAATTCTCAAAACTAAAGTTTTCTTAAACCTTTATATTTTCTACTTTGACGTTTTGATTTCTCTTTTTAAAACTTTCTTGAATTTCATTGGAAATTTGGGTACCCTTTAAAACTGTCTTCTTTTTTTTTCTTTTTTTTTTTAAATGCTCTTTCATTTACTCACATTTTTTCAAATTCTTTTAAATGATTTTTTTTTAATTTAATTTTTTTTGTGGTACAATTTCTTATGACAATTTATGTTAGCCGATTCTAAATCATTTTGAGACTAAGGCTTTGTTGTTGTAGTATAACAAGAGGTTTTTGATATGACATCTATAAGAGAGTTTTCATGTCTCTGTAAATTACATATTCTTCATCAATGGATCTATCAATTTTTTGCTGCTTGAAGATGATTTCATTCTAATTTATATGATGTAATCAAAGAGTTATCTTTTTTTTTTTTATTCACAAAAATCTTTAAAAATAATTTTTTTTTGAAAATGGTGACATTATTTTTCGAGAAATTTGGCCAATCTTGACCTTTAAACCCTAATTTTGTGGACTAATAAAAGGAGAGAGTATTGTTACTTTAATATACATCAATTTTCAATTATCATAGTTATATAATCAGTGGGCGGAGTGAGTTTTGCCCTAGGCCTAATAGGCAACCATTTTGCTATCCCAATTGTGGGATCATGGTTTGCTGACTTAGAAGAACTAGGAACAGATTGTTCTGTTTAGGGTTCAACTCATGGATGATTTCAATAACATGATCTTCTCACAATGAACAGTCCTCAGAAAATTTCTTATACCACACAAGCTAACCCCTTGTACAATGCACCAACTAGATGAATTCTGAGAGTTCTTTTCTGTTTGTTTTCTTTTTATATTAGGTGAGTGTTGTTGCTTATTACCGTTTTCTTTTTCCATGTGAAATGCTGTAAATATTAAAGTTTGAAGGGTTTTTTTTTTTTTTTTTTTTTTTTTTTTTTTTTTTTAAATGTGAAATGATGTAACGATTAAAGTTTGCATGATGTGGTAGAGGCAGTTTCTTGTGGATTATTTGAAGTTTTACTTTCTTAGAAATAGAATTGTGGGCTTATGATTTGTCTAAATTGTATTTAAATTGAAGTAAGTGCAACTGTACGGATTACAAACATTATGTCCTCCTTTCTTCCTTTTAAAAGCATATTCGTGCAAACATGTTCAACACCACTTAGCTTCATAACTTATTAACTTATCCAAATTTACTAATTTCATTATATCAATCTCTAGGAGCTTTGCTTAACCCATATCTCGCCTCCTTAAGTGTTAAGCTGTTAACCATTTTCATGTTGCTTACACTTGTTTTCTGCTCTCTTATAAGTCTGACCTTATACTATTTGACCAAATACACATGACTGACAACAAGATACTTACGAAGTTATGATAGTAGGATCATATTTTCAACTTTTAAATTGCTTCACCTTTCTAAGTAAAAGTGATATTGAAGAAGAATGACTTTTTTGTATGGTCAATGTTCCTGATGGACAAATGCTCACAACAATCTTTTATGTACCTAAGATCATCAAAACTTTTGCCTTGGAATTGTTTCAATTCATTGGCTCTATGATGATTGCCAAAGGTTTCCCCAAGGTATTTGTAAACTGGCACTTGCCAACTATTCTATAATATTGTAAATGTATCATAACTTGAATGTGTTTTTAATTGGTCTATCAAGGATGACACAAGTTCTTCAACGGCATATGTTACATGCAGACAACATCAACAGGCTAGAGGAATCATCACTACAGCTAGAGGTAAGCTATATCTAAAGCAACTGTGTTAACTACATTTTGAGGTATTTTTGTTAGAAAATTTGCTAAAAGCAGGCACAAACACCTTGTTCATAAGATTTTTTATTAGAAAGAACAAATTTGTGCTTTCTTTTTTGTAAGTCATGGTTTGGAAATAGGACATAAAATGGATGTCAATGCTACATTAGATTCTTCAAGGAGACAGAATGAAGTTAGGGCTCTACTGTTCTCATTTAATCATATGGGCTTTGCTGTTGGAATCACTGTCATTTGCTAAGTCGTGAAGATGGAGTGAATTCTAGGTAAATTGGAGGCATTTATATAGCCTTTATGTAAATTACTAGTGTATTACTCCACAATATATATTCAATACAATTCCTACCCTAGCTAATAGACTAACAGTGTCTGATTTCCTTTGTCCCAAATGCAAGTGGCCTAGGGTAATTGGTAGAGCTTTCTTCTAACCGTCTCTTGTTTCAACTATCCTGGAGTTATCAACTTCTCCACTTCTTCGAAATCATATAATAGTATGTTTTGTTGATTTAGTCCTTTATGTGGAGATTTTACATTTCTATCGCATATAGTTGCAAACATTTTCCTAGCAAAAGTAGGTTATGCAGACTTTTATATGTTCAAATTGATATAAACTCGGGAGAATTAAGTCCCCTTTAATGATTCATTAAGATTAAACAGAATCAAGGTAAAAGATCATATGCATAACTTGATTATTATTACTTCTACAAAACAAGAAACCCAGCTCAGACAATGAAACTCTACATCTTTCAAAAACTGTAGTAAAATCACTTTTCAGTACTTAAATCCATTAGGTGATACATTGATTTGATGCTACTTTTCTTGTGTTTGTAGGCTGAGGATAGTTTGTGTGCTATGCTAAGCAAAGAACTTGAGGACAAGACTCGAGACATAAGGTAAACTTCATAGTAACTGCTCTCCAGTAAGCTTTGTGTGCTATGCTTTAGGATCCGTGTTTACATGTAAGTTATGATCCTGTGATAGTCGTATAAATGGAGATGACCTTGATGCATTGAGCCTCGATGAGCTAATGAAACTAGAAAGACAAGTTGAAAGGGGTCAAACCAAAATTCGCCGAGCCAAGGTTGTGTTCTTTACTTGAAACAAAATTACATCAATCATGTATTTATTATTACATTAAGTCCTAAAATTTTAATTGCTTGAACTTGGTGATCGTGTTCAGGGTGAAAAACTTCGGAAAGAGATTGTCACCCTCAAGGGAAAGGTACTCTTTCTTACTCATATTGCATTATCTGTTACGTAATTTGGACACTTCATCTCACCTCACCTCACCTCACTTCAAGTACTCGTGTCACATAACTATGTTTTTATAGTCACTTACTCGTAAATGAGTTCAAGCAACATAGATTTTCACTTATTTGCCCTTATTTTCTTTGATGTTGCTGGTACATTGAAATGTGATGGCACAACTGGGACAAGTAGGAGATTGAAACGGCAAAGGAAAATCAAATGTTGAAAGAACAGGTGGAAGTGACCTCGAAATTTATTTTACATCTTCTGTTCCAAAGAAAGTTTCTCGATTACGAAGTAAAATAGTTGTCTTGGTCAATACTACAGATGAAAGATGTGTCAAAAGAACATTTTTCTCTGCTGCATTTGGCTGCGGAATCAGATACCAGCGTACCCTCATCAGCTCCAATTCAATGGCTGCCAAAAAAAGATAATAACTCAATTTCAAATACTTTTCTTACATTGGGGTGAGTGTGTTACTGGTGTTCTCTACTTCATATGCTAATCTATTCCCTCCGTTTCTTAAAAATCTTCATACTTTCTGTTTTCATCCGTTTCATAAGGCTCTCTTGTGTACGTTTTCATCACTTACTTGGGGCTTATGTTCTTATTAATTTGAATGCAGCCCTCCTGTACAAAGTGAAAATTTATGAAGTGTATTGCAAATTTGCAATAAAGCGCGAGCTATGGAGTATATGAAAGCAGATTTATGTATACTGTAAGTCATGGAGAGAAGGATAAAGCTATATATATGTTGGATGTATTTAAATTGTGCTGCTTGGAATTCTTGTCAGTTTTGTAAACCCTAATTCAGACGATGCAGTAGTAAGTAAATAATGCAGGAGGCAGAAGTTGAAGGTGTTCAAGTCTTTGTAAGTGTTATATTCTCTTACTTTCTTTAATTCTCTGTGCCCTAGTTCTTTGTGAATTACCTTTGACAGAAAAATATGTTGATATAATCTGATTGAGATGTGGGTAATCCTACAGCATTTTTGCATCGCTTTTGTTCAACTATCTCATAGGTGCAATGCATAACGTGTATGGGGTATTTGGTGCGACTATGTGCCTATGTAAGCACCATTCAATTCGCGTTATCTTGTTGAAATGATAAAATTATCTTGTTACAAGTTTTGGATCATTGTTGGGTAACGGGCTAATTACTAGCCAATGATACATTGATACCATTTGGACTGTTATCATTTCGCCTTTGTTGTGAGACTTTTGACCTATAGGGATTGTGAAGTTTTGTAACTAAGATTTTGGGTCCAATTTGATGTCTTGGTTGACTATTACACAGTGCCATTTTTTGGGCTTTTATCATTTCGTCTTTGTTTTGATTAAATGTAAAACTGTCTTGTTACAAATACAACTTTAGGGTATTTGTAGTGGATAATTGCTAGCCAATTAGGTTTTTATAATTTCGTCTTTTTAGGCAAAAGAAGAAATTATTTTGTGGTTAACATTTTTGAGCCATTTGTGTAAGGCAATTGGCTAAATTACTAGCCAACGACCCCCGATTGGATTTTTATCATTTCGACTTAAATTTGATAGATAAAATAGTGCCTTGTGATTAAGGTTTTACTGTTTTGGGACCATTTGCGTTAGAGTAGTTGCAAGGCAACATCACTTATTGTGGGTTTTTTTATATGCCTATTGAAAGATCATATTCCTTTCCATGTTTTTTTTCACTAATCTGAAGCTAAAATTGCTAGATGTAAAACCTGCTGTTTTGAAGTTTGGATCTGTTTTTTATTTGCTGCACCATAATTTAGGCTTTTTTTGTTTACTACAGTACTTTGTTTTCTAAACAAATTCTATAGTTTAGTGGAACACTAATAACTCTGACAACATAGTTAGTTCAAATATCATATTAGTAAACTGCTATTTGGCCTGATTAGAAAGCTTATTTTTACTAGACTGGTATGACTTGATTAAGCACTACACATTATGCATAGACTAATTGTTCGCGAGCATTAACGAGTTCATTTAAAACTACGCTTAATGCAAAGCATTTCTTCGTAAATTTAATTTGTGCAACATTAAGGAAGTCGATAGGTTGATGTAAGTACCAGTGTAAAACCCCTCCCCCCAAAAACATTAGAAACGTGACTACGTGAGACAATACTTATTACATCTTTTGCAATCGTCCTTGTAAATAAATGAGAGAAACTCGTACTAGCTGTTACATTATTACCAGCATAGTGAGCTTTTTTTCAAGGTCATTTTAGTGCTTTGAAACAGTTGAATTTGAAAGGAATTGCAGGCATAGAGGCTTTTCATGGGGCCTTTAGACTTGGACTATACTAATATTGGAGTAGGAAATGATGGCCTTTAGCTTAATACTTACTATCTCTTGTTTTGCTAGGTGTCTATCGTAAATGATGAGTTGACTGTTTCCTTCATCATTGAGAGTGATTTGTATCTTTAATGGTTGATAAAATAAAACTAGCACATTAAGATTCACATTGAACTTTGTAAAAAGCCGTGGATAATCAAGTAGTTTAGTTGGTTAAAGTTTTGAGAGGTGGTATCCAAGAGACTTGAGATCAAATCTTGTCTACATCATTTATATGGTTCTCTAGTATTTGTAAAACACTACCCCGACCAAAAGTTAACAGCTAGTGAGTGCGGAATATTCACCACTATAATGTCAAACATTGACGCTTACATTAAAAGCTATTGTTAAACACCCCATAAGTGCTATTTTTATTGGATTACTTGATTAGTCGATAATAATGCATATATGATGATAAGAATTGAATCAATACCCTAAACTTATACGCTAGCAACAAAAATACCAAGTCAAAAATATGAGACACATGTTGGAGTTGAAAAAAGATCAACTTGGGACCAGCAGAGATGTAAAAGTACACAAAATTAATGAGTTACCTAAGAAATATCATAACCAACCCTGCAATTAATTAAGTGAACTGTTAAACATCGCCCGCAAATTCCTACATAAAGCCCACAAAATAAGAGTGAAATGACACTTTTGCCCTCATACTAAAAAACACACAATTTCTCTCTCTACTCTCTACTTCCACTTTCTCTCTCTAAATTATTTCCAGAGCTATGTCGAGGCGGCCCGGCAAGGAAGTGGCGGCACCGGCGGTGGGCGGAAGGCGGTTTGCCGGCCAGAAGGTAATTTTTTTAATTTTTGTAATTTTTTTTTAAAAAAAAAACCTCCGGCGACGGTGGGGCGCCAAGGCGAGACGCCACCACCACGGAGGAGGCGCCTAGGCAAGGCGCCCGTACGGTGGTGGCGGCGCCTAGCCCAGACGCCACTACCACGGCAGCGGCGCAGAGGCTAGGCGCCACGGCCGTGGTATTGGCGTCTGGGCTAGGCGCCGACACCACCGTACGGGCGCCTTGCCTAGGCGCCTCGTTCTTTTTTTTTTTTTTTTAATTTTTTTTTTGTTTTTTTTTAATTTTAAATTTTATTTTCGATTTTTTTTTTTTTTAAAAAATTTGTTTTTCTTTTTTTTAAATTGTATGTTCCCTTTTTTTTTATCTTTTTTTTTTTAAATTTTGTTTTTTTATTTGTTTTAATTTTATATTTTTTATGTTTATAATTTTATTTCCGTGACTTGTTTATTTGCTTTTGTGTTTATTTTCGACTTTTTTTAATTTGTTTTCGTTATTATGTTTCGTTATTTACTTGGAGTTAGGCATCGCAATTTAGACCTGGTGCGGGGAAGAGTATTGACGTCGTGAGGAGTACGATCTACTCAATGGAGAGCTCGGGGCCCAGACACGTTAGATCCCGTGGTATTTCGGCCTCGGCCCGCAGAGAACGGGTGCACTGTTCTGCGGACGATCAAGATGATGATGATGATGATGAGGAGGTGGAGGAGGAGGTCGAGGAGGAGGAGGTCGAGGACGAGGATGATGCAGATGAGGATGTCGACGATCAGAGTGGACCATATGATGATTACGGTCCATTCAGTCAGAGACTTGATGATACGTATGAGACGCATAGGGTAGATGTGCGTAAGGGTCGAGATGGTAGGTTTGTTAGTAGATCTGGCACATCATCTGCGTCCACTGTGTCTGCGGGTAGCAGAAAACGGTCGAGGGCCGTTAATGATTCTTGGATGGTGAGGGGTGAGGTGGCCGGGGGACCTATAGACGGGAGTGTGATTCCTAGCTTTTTAGGACACATCGCTACCCGTATTTGGGAGGACCAGGAGAGGGCTTTGGATACAGGCATTTTGAAATGCCAAACCCGGGAAAAGACTTGTAGGTTTTTGTGTAGCTGGGCTGATGCTTGGCCGGAGGAGAGCGAGATGGTCAGGCGATTGAGGGCCACTAGAGTGAGTCACCTTCCTGCCACCATGCACGACAGGATTGACTGGACGCTGATCACGGCTTTCGTTGAGCGATGGCAGCCGGATACGAACTCGTTCCACCTTCCGTTCGGTGAGATGACGATCATGTTGCATGACGTCGAGGCCATCCTTGGGATTCCCGTGGAGGGAAACCGAGCATCTGTCGTCACTGATGCGGATCAGGCAGATTTACTAGCGGAGCTGTTGGCGGTGGATAGGGTTGCGCTGTACACATCGGCACTTGGTGTGTGGGATCACGGCGGCGTTAAGATCGCAGCCGTCTTGCAGCGATGTTTGCACCCTACGGCACGTAGGACGCAGGACACACAGCTGGCTGCATATGTTTTTCTTCTTCTCGGGTGTACCTTGTTTCCGGATAAGAGCGGGAACAAGCTCAGGCCACGCGACATAGTTGACGCGTGTGAGCCCGACAGAGTAGGCCAGTTTTCTTGGGGGTCGGCTACGCTGGCGTATCTGTATCGCCAGTTAGGATTCTCGAGCCGGGCTGATGCAGCAGGTATCACTGGATGTCTGACGTTGTTACAGACCTGGATATACGAGTATTTTCCTGCGTTTCGACCACACCGCGACCCGGTTCCCATTGGTGATGGCCAGCCACGTGCCTGTGCGTGGAGTCCGCGTGTCGAGAAGAAGTCCGTTGACCGCCTGCGCTCCATACGGTTATCGCTTGACAGGATGTCCCCCTTAGAGGTACAGTGATTAAATTATTTCTACTTTTACAATCTGATGCTTTATTTTATGACTGTTACTGATTTTAAATAATGTGCAGGTGAACTGGATGCCTTTCGGCCAGAACCCTAGTAATAGGGTACCCAGGACCCTCTACACTGGACTGATTCAGTATCGCGAGATCGTAGAGGCGTACATGCCGCAGCGCTGTCTTCGCCAGCTTGGATTTGTCCAAGTTGTCCCACCTCCACCGGCATGGCCCAGTAAGGCGGTACGATCTGCGTCGTCGAAGGAGTACGTCGTCCAATGGCCGTCAAACATGATATTCATGTGGGAGCAGTTTCCGATGGTTGCCCGCCTATGGATGGCGGAGCTGCAGCGGCCGCCAAGTGGGGTGACTGCCATGTGTGACCAGCACTACATGGAATGGTACATCCGGCACTCGCACCCGAGGTTGATCAAAGACATCGACGACGCAGATGATGACGATGTGCCACCTGCCACTGCCTCTTATGCGGTACGTCTCATCTTTTATTTGTTGTTCTCTTATTTTAATATATATATGTATAATACGTCGTTTCATGTTTTTTGTTTTGTGTAGTGGATGGGCAAGATTATGCAGTTGGGACACCGACTTTTTGAGGAAAGGGACTGCATGACGAGTGCATCAGGCAGAGCTGTTATTGACGATCTGGAACGGACCCTTGAGCAGTGGCAGTGGGCGTCACAGAGGGATTACTGATATTTGAAATTAGACATTATCTTTTTAGTTTGTAATATTTGAAATTATTGTTCTTAGTTTTTAAAATTCAATATTATCTTTTTAGTTTGTAATATTTGAAATTATTGTTGTTAGTTTTTAAAATGAAACATTATCTTTTAAAAATGAACACATAGAAATGACATAGTATTGACAATACAAGGCCTCATAGTAAAAGGTAGGTGTACATCAACAAAAACTACATGGCAATTAAATTGTTCCACTGTTGCACGCGAGCATGGTACAAAGCATCCCAACCCTCCACGCTTGCTCTACGAATTTCATACCACTTCGGTATGATATTTGGGACCGGAAAATCGGGTGACATGTCTAATCGGATAAAATGTCTGTATGACGGCCCAAGAAATCCAATAGCAACGTCCCTTACCGGTCTGGTGACGGTCTCGCGCGAACACCAGGGCAGAACCGTTGTACATGGATAATAGGCTCGACTATGTAAACCAAGGCCGAAATGCATGACTGCACACTTGTAGATGTTTGCAACGGCAAAGAGATCAAGTGGCGCATCGAACCAATGATTTTGACCGCAAGGTCCCCCTCCCCACCGGATACGCTGCAGAGACCTATCCAAGTCCTCGCCGTACACATGGCCATACACATCTCGGTTTGATGCGATTTCACTGTACATCAACTGCCGCACTAAACCGTAGTTGTCTTCACCCATTTGAAACACATCCGCCACAACCCGAAATCCGCAGTTACCATCTGCAATGACATCATTCCACCCGTCCAAGAATGGCATCATGATATTAGGGATCCTGTCCTTATATGGAAAATGTTCAATGTCCATTCTCCCTGTTACACACATCAATAAACACAATAAACAAGTCAACAGTAAACTAATCAAACAGTCAACAAAAGAAATTGAAGTCGAATGTCTTACCGGTGCCGGGCATATTCACCGACGACGATGATTGGCTGCCACTTGATGAGGATGTACGACCACGGCCACGGCCACGGCCACGACCACGAATGTACTCAAACGCACTCTTGTTCCGCCGTGGTTGTCGACCCCTAGGTCGCTCGACCCCTTCCGGTTCCTCGGTATCCAAACACGATGTATTGAACATGTCATGAAGTATGTGTGTAGCACTACGAATGATCGAAGGGTGACTGGAGGACACTTGGTCAAACATCATCTGAAACTGCTCCAACTCCTCCTATTCACGGTGAACCGTATGCGGAACAGCATGCTCTCCGATAACGAGCGTCCGCCAGAATGGATGAACCTGATCGACATGTAACGACGCCCTGTCTTGCGTAATTACGCGGTGAATGGTGCATGCACAAGGTAATCCATGAGTCATTGATATAGCACATCCGCACCGAATAGCCACTTCATCGCCCAACTCCCTCATCCTGGTATACTCGCTCAGAATCAACCCCAAACAGTGGTGTGACACACGACCGTGGAGAATCTTAAATATGAAATGGCCATACAACATGCCATGTCGTCGTCTGGAGTCCTCGAGATAGTTCTTGATGCCGTTCCTCTGAGTATCAATAGCCTTGTTTATTCTCTCGAACAGTGTATCCAGAGCAGCCGTGGAAGAATCAATCCAGTCCTTCAAAGCTCTATGAGCGCTCTCGACTCTGCATGTCGTAGTGTTCCCAAAATGAAGAACTTGGTTCGTCCAATATTTGACAAACTTTTCCCTCTGAGGCACCCACTGCTGCATCACATAGTCTACGATTGCCGGGCACCATTGGTATGCATCCTTGAAGTTTTCCAAGGCTCGATCGTACTCTGCCTCCGTGGTAGCTTGCAGGATCTTCCGCCACTTACCATTTACCAATCTCTCTGCTGAATCTAAGTTCTTGTTGAAAAGGTTGTAGGCTTTGACTTTCACGCAGTTGTTGATGTGCCATGTGCACAGTAAATGGCTCGACTCCGGAAACAGCTCCGCTATAGGGGCAAAAAGACCTCCCTCACAATCACTTACGATGGCCGATGGCTGTACATTTGGGCCGATGTAGTTTCTCAACTTTTCCAACACCCAACGGTAACTCGCAGCCGTCTCATCCTTCATGACTGCATAACCAATCAGAAAGTTCTGGTTCGTTGGAGCCATCCCAACCATCTCAACCAGTGGGAACTTGTACTTGTTTGTCTTGTACGTTGAATCGATCAAAATCACAGATGGCCAAGACGAAATCATATCAGCACAATCAGGATGGACAAGGAACAAATGAGTTACCTCCGATGTGTCTTCGTCAGATTCAAACCAGTAAAGGTAACCACGTGCTTGTGCCTGGTGCAGAAGCTGCTGTATAGGGTTCCTTCCCTCTGACCGTTCAAACCTCAATTTCTGTCTGACGTTGTAGATGTGTCTTCGGTTTGGCTGGTCTTCGGGGAATTTCTCTAACACAGACGCTAATATTTTAGCGGGCTTCACTTGAGCATCACTCATTTCTTTTACAACTAGTTTCGCAGCTGGACTTAGGCCGCTTAACTGCCGATGCCCCACTTTGTATGCTATCAGCTCATGGTTGTGATATCCCCATTTGCCGTAACCCTTCACTTCCCAACCGTCACGCCTTTGATGTTGTCGAACCTTAACTCGGAACTGACACCCACAACCTTTCCGCTTTGAGTCAAACCGAATCGCTTTACTGAAATCTCGTTCTTCTCTTTTGCGATAACGGTCGCATCTCAAAATGCGATCCATTCTACCATCCCGTTGAGATTTATGAGTTGCTACTACTAAACAAAAGCCTGATCTAATTGCAACCTGTTTTGCCCAATCAATCGCTTGTTGAGCATCTTCGAACAGGCCATCATGTACAAAAATCCCACTGTAATCATTTCCGTCTCCACCATAATCCTGTAACAATAACATATAACGTATAAATATAATTACATTAAGATTAAATTAACAAAAACAAACAAAAAAAAAAAAAGGGATTAAATTAAAAAATAAAAAAAAAAAAAAAAAAAAATATTCCCCTACTGGCGCCTGGCCAGGACGCCGGAGCCACGGCCAGGGCGCCTGGTCAGGACGCCGCCGCCATGGTGGCGGCGTCCTGGCCAGGCGCCTTGGCCGTGGCTGCGGCGTCCTGGCCACGCGCCACTACTATGGTCGAGGCTTCTCCACCAGGCGCCGTGACCACGGTGGCGGCGTCCTGGCTAGGCGCCACAACCACGGCATGGCCTTTTGGCTAGGCGCCAGCCACCATTTCGTCCTTACGATGCGTTACGAACCTCGTTTTCCGATGACGACGGCGATTCTCCGGTGATCCTCGGCGATCCGGTGCTGCTCCACATTTTTTTAGTGCGAAAAATTTATCTTCCGTTAAAATTATAAAAAGGGCAAATTTGTCAAAAAATTATAAAATGTGGGCTTTATGTAGAGATTTGCGGGCGATGAATAACAAGTCCCATAATTAAACCCTTTTGTCTTAAGCTACAACCTTTAGTACAATTATTTCTGTAATTTATTTCTGAAGAGTGTAGAGTGCTCACAGTCTTACACAGTGATGAATGTTAAGTACACTAACAACTAACAAAGTAACAAGTATGTATGATGCGTAATTTTCACTTGGTACTTAACAGCCTTATGTTTATTTATTTATTTATTCCTTCTGTATGCCCTCCTTTTTTGATCAAATGATGTTATTGTAACTTGCTTAAATTGGTCGTTGTAACCTTTAGGAAGCATAAGTGTACAACGCCTACATTTATATCCTGTGTATTCTTCTGCTTGAATTATTGGATGCAATGTCACCCAAAGGAAGCAAGTTAGCGAATGGTAAGTTTGGTTTCACCTCAATGTGATTACATGTCAGAAAGCCATACGACTATACGAGTATGTTATACTTCGTATAAGCTTTATAACTTTTGTTCCCGTGTCATCTTTTCTATACTCTTTTGTTTGTCTTGTGTTAATCGTTTCAAAAAGTATAGACAATGTGGATTTAAATTTGATTAACATCTTATATCATCTTCCCTTGCTTGGATTCTTAGAAACAAGCCCATCAAATCTTAGATATAATGTGTATCCACAAGATAATATACTAGTATCCTCTTTAATATAGTATCCACACGATTTATTAGTAACCTAAGCTTTGTACAAACTAATTAGAAGAGCTTGTTAAATAATTAACATCTAGCTAACATTAATAATTTTGGTTTGGACTAATCTTAGTCACGACCCCAGTCTTAATCTAGTGATGTGCCTTTTTGTTGTTAATTACCACACCCTCTAATATTGGTTACAATTAGTCCATGAGACAATTTTTTTTTTTTTTTTTTTTTTTTTTTTTTTTTTTTTTTTTTTGCAATTCTAGCCTTAGATTTTAACCCCTACAATTATTGTATAAGCTAAGTTCGCACATAATGCACAACAGTCCATTTTAATTCCATAAAATAGCTTCTCACTTGTCTGCGTGCTAATAGCCTAATAAGAACTGTAACTAAGAAAAACACCTACTAATAGTACAGGCTTACTACTATTGAACTTGAGTTACATTTTTTTTGTTGTATACCAAAATGGTTTAGATAGAATACTAGGAGATGGCAACATTCTTAATGTGTCTATTATATACGATGAGTAATTGGCGAAAGAATATCAACCCTAAATCATTAATCAACCTGAAAGAACCAGAATCCGGAAAGATTGTAGTAACGCCGGACGACCGTTGATCATTCACGTGCATTGCACATTCAATGATGATATCACTCCCAAAATGCAACACCATTTGTTGGGCCGTTGTTTACACGTGTAAGAGTAGACTCAATTGTTATGTTGATGAATAGTTGAATACAGAATACCTCAGCCTTTTGAATGGTTGCAACTAACCAATTGCTCAACCCGTCTTGTATTGTGCACCCATGTTTCGGTTAAGTTTAGTTTGTATCTTTTGATGAAGATAAGAAATTTCTGACCATATTCAGTTTTTTCAATACGCATTTGACAAATATTAAGTCGAATCTTTTGACTTTTTATTACTTTTTCTTGTATTCTAGATAATACTTGTAACAATTTGACTTTTTATTAGTACTAATATATAATATACTTACTATTCAAAAAAATATATAATATACTTATGCAAACATGTATAGTTAAAGCTACTAATTGGATGTTGGTGTAGTGCTGATTGGGAATTTGGGACTACACTTGGTAGGAAGAACCCGTGTTCGATCCCTCGCAACAATAATTGGAAGGGGATTGTAACCTAAACAGTAAACACCCACAACTGATCCCCGAATCCGGATTAGCCCAAAGGGTGGACCAGGTGAAACACCAAAAAAGTAGTTAAGATCAAATAATACGAGTATAATAATTAGAACAAAAAAATACAGTAATTAGCACTAATAAAATATAACACTCTATGTGCACTAAATGCAAACAAGATTATGTGCCAAGCTCTTCGCTTTTTAACTTCCTATACATAGCCGTTTTTATTCATCAAAGACTCTAGAGCTCAAAAAATCCAAATAATTAGATGTAAATAAAGATACAGAAAACAATTTTGTTTTTAGCATAAATAGTCAAAAATCATACTAGGTAACAAATTTGTTTGAGAGAGATAGAGAGAATCACGTTTAGCCATTTAAAAATAAAAAGCCCCACAAATTTTTTTCACAAACAAACTCACCTTCAACCTCTTCTCTCTCTCCTCCATCTTGATTGTCCACCATAGCCACCACTTTCACCACCACCACCATTTCATCTATCAACCAATTCTTCAATTATTGAGGTAATTTTAATTTAATTAAATTTTGTTTCTTTCATTAAAAAAAAATGATGAACAAATAAAATGTTAGAAAGTGTAATTAGATTTTACCATGACCCCACAAAAATGCATTGAAATCAAAACAAACCAAGACATTTTCCTCTCTTCCTTTTAACAAATTAACATCCAAAAGAAGGGTGTAGAAAAATTAGCCCTTCCTAGCATTTGAAGGAGGAGGGGCTTTAATTTCATTTAGTTCGTTAGTTTTGTGCGATCCGGTTAATATTCAACGTATATTCTCTATCACACGACACAAGATCAATTAGAACCATAGTTGCATTTGTTGTTATTGTTATCATATATTAGAAAATAAAAAAATTGTTACGTTTGATATTTGTATGGAATAATAATGGGGGAGATAGTGAAGCAAATATTAACAAGGCCGGTGCAATTAGCAGACCAAATAACAAAAGGAGCAGATGAAGCCATACAATTCAGACCAGAATGTCTTGAATTACAAGGCAAGACAAAGAAGCTAGCGGACTTAATCCGTCAAGCGGCGCGTGCTGCCAATGATCTCTATGAAAGACCAACGCGCCGCATCATCGACGACACGGAGCAAGTGCTCGAGAAAGCACTTGCTCTCGTGGACAAATGTCGAACACGGTCGCTTCTTAAGCGTGTGTTTACTATCATCCCTAATGCAGCATTTCGTAAGATGATAGCTCAACTTGACAATTCTATAGGTGATGTTTCATGGCTCCTACGTGTGTCCGCCCCTAAAAATGATGATGATGATGATATTGGGTATCTTGGGTTGCCACCCATTGCGGCGAATGAGCCAATCCTTTGTTTGATTTGGGAACAACTGGCTAATCTTTCGACGGGGTCGTTGGATGACCGGTCCGATGCGGCTGCGTCGTTGGTGTCATTGGCTAGGGATAATGAACGATATGGGAAGCTGATTATTGAGGAAGGAGGGGTTGGACCGCTTTTGAAGTTGGCTAAGGAGGGTAAACCGGAAGGTCAAGAGAACGCGGCTCGATGTATTGGACTCCTAGGGAGGGATCAAGAAAGTGTGGAACAAATTGTTAATGCGGGTGTATGTTCGGTTTTTGCTAAGATGCTTAAGGATGGACAGATGAAGGTTCAAGCGTTGGTGGCGTGGGCGGTATCGGAGTTGGCTGCTCATTATCCGAAATGTCAGGATCATTTTGCTCAGAATAATGTGATTAGGCTGCTTGTTAGTCATTTGGCTTTTGAGACTATTGAGGAGCATAGCAAGTATGCTATTGCTAAGCGTAAGAAAATGTCGATTCATTCTGTTGTTATGGATAGTAAAGAGGGGTCAGAAACTTCGCCGAGAAATGGCAGTTGTGGTGGCCTGAAGACTGATCATGAGGATGAGAAGCAGATGACGAATCAGATGAAGCCGGTAGGGAAGATGCAGGGGGAGACTCAGATGGCGAATGTGGTTAATGATACAATGGTGAGGCGGACTTCTAAGGGGGATGCAGGAAGTGGTAGTGGTTGTAATAAGAATGCTAAAAATCAGAATCAGAATCATGTGCAGCATTTATTGGCAGGGGGCAGTATTAAGGGTAGAGAGTTTGAGGACCCTGAGATTAAGGCCGAGATGAAAGCTATGGCAGCGCGAGCCCTTTGGCATTTGGCCAAAGGGAACGTGTCTATCTGCCGTAGCATTACAGAGTCAAGGGCCTTGCTGTGTTTCGCGGTATTGCTAGAGAAAGGCCAGGAAGAGGTTAAGTATAATTCAGCAATGGCATTGATGGAAATCACAAGTGTAGCAGAGGAAAATACAGATTTAAGGAGGACCGCCTTTAAGCCTACATCCCCTGCAGCAAAAGCAGTAGTAGATCAACTCCTTAAGGTTGTCACAGAAGCTAGCTCTGAACTCTTGGTTCCCTGCATCAGGTCTATAGGGAATTTAGCAAGGACATATCGAGCCACGGAGACTAGGATCATTGATCCCCTAGTCAAGCTCATCGACGAAAGGGAGACAGAGATAATGCTAGAGGCGGTAATAGCACTACTCAAATTCGCTTGTTCAGAAAACTACCTCCGTGTTGTGCATTGTAAGTCCATCATAGAAGGTAGTGGTGTTAAGCATTTGATACAGCTGGTGTATTTTGGTGAACAAGTAGTTCAAATACCGGCATTGATATTGTTATGTTACATTGCTCTTCATGTACCTGATAGCGAGGTGCTAGCACAAGAGGAGGTGCTCATAGTACTAGAATGGGCAACCAAACAAGGCCATATTATGCAAGATCTTCAAGTTGATGATCTTCTACCAGAGGCTAAGAGTAGGCTTGAACTTTACCAATCAAGAGGGTCTAGATTCTAGAGGCTTAATTTTACTCACTTTCGAAGAAACATCTACCTTTTGTTGGTTACATTGTGTGCAGTGATTAGTTTACAATTTTGATAAACTTGTTGTTTCCTAACAAGGTTTTCAGATTTCGTCTTTTTTTTTTTTTTTTTTTTTTTTTTTTTTTTTAACCTTCATGGTGCAAGAGCAGGGGTGTGTATACACAAAAGGTTGGCTAGCTTTAAATTTTGGCTTTTGTAATCATTTTTGTAGTTGCATTACTAAATGAATTAACCCCTTAATTCATCATTCAATGTTTTTCTTGTATTCTTAACCTTAAACTAGAGTAATCTCCTCTTGAATTCTTAAGTGGCTTCTAGTAAATATATAAGTTGAAAAAGTAAACATTAGAAAAAAAAAAAAAAAAAAAAAAAAATGGGAATTTTGGGATGTATAGCACAGAGTATAATTGTCATTTGATTAATAAATTTATCATGTGTCATTTTATTTTAACTTTACCTTTTTGCTTTTTCTTTGATTTTTAGGAATATAAACGTAATGTTTTCTACGCACTAATGCAATCACGTAAACCTTCTTCCTATTCTGGCTGTTTATGCAATTAAGCAACGTGTAACCAAAACTAGTAGTTTGGAAATGCGACTTTTAAAACGCTTTCATCAGAATATATGTATAATTGTATAGACATAGTAAGGATACTTTGAAATTGAGATGACTTGAGGAAAAAAGATGTTATGTTTAAGAACAGGGCTAAATGATTATGTTGGACAACATAAATGAAGAAGGAATTCAAGCAATTCACATCATGCCAGTATGAGTCTATAACTCTATGATGTCGTTGGAATTGGACCAATACTAAAGTGTTGTTGGGCCTTTTGGGCTAGTCAATATACTATTAAGCTCACTTTTGTGCTCTAACTCTCTAAGCTAGGCTTTTGTTTGTAGGACTAATCAAGATTTTAGATTATTTTGGCTATTTATAAGATGCTACTTGTCTGTCAAAAAAAAAAAAAAAAAAAGATGCTACTTGTCTACTTGGTGTACGTCTAGGTGATTTGGTGCACACACTCTTTTTGGAACAACAGTATGTCACTATTTACATAGCCTATCTTGGTTCTTGACCATTTTAGATCCATCTCAATATACTTGTACGTTGGTAATTATCGTATTTTTTTATATAATGTACATTATTTTAATTACTGATGGTTAAATATATTTATGGTTAGATTTGTTATCCTTTCAAAATTAGCAGGATCCGTTTCTTAAAAAACACGAGTTAATCTATATCATATCAAAGTTTACTCAAAACTCAATACATGAGATCGTATCACATCATACCAAACTACAATAACTTAAGCCTAACCAAATCACAATTTATAAAATAAAGATGATAATATCTTAGTTTAGACGAAGATAACTTATACTCAAAACATGGATAATGAGGATTGGGGTCAAATAACCCTATTAACTTTTGTGGCTCCATTATTCAACAAAGGAAAAGTTGACAATATTATGGTAGACAGTCTAGACACTAGACAGTATTGCATGCAAGATCTGGTTTCGAACATGATCGATTATGAGATTATGGACCGGCCCACTTTTAGACGTAGTCCTCTATCTGGCAACAGGCCCACTGTTGCTGGTTGGTGCCTGGCTGCCTGCCACTAAATTTACGAGTTAACTTGAATAAATCTTACTTATTTTTAATATTAATTTTTTATTTTGATTTAACATAAGGATGATAATATTCAAAAGGAGAAATATTAAAGCGACCAAAAGTGTGGTAGGAAATTGGATGAGGGCGTTCCTTTCTTGCCTCCTTTGATAAGGAAGGTTTCTTTAAATTCAAGGTTTTGTTAAAAGTTTATTTGAATTCCTTGAATTTATAGCTTCAAAAACTGTGAATGTATTGTGACTTGTGCATTTCCTTTTTTTTTCTTTTTTTTTTTTTTTATTGTAATGTATTCTACAAAATGAAAATCTTAATGCTTTGGCTAACAAAATAAAATAGGGGAAGTGAAGAATCATAGAAATTGCTAAGTTGAATAGTTATTTGTTTGACACAAAAAAGGGAGGGGGACATTAATTTCAACTTCGTCAAAACATAGGGAGTAGGAAATAAATTAGCAAGAGTTCCCTTGGGCCCGTTTTCAATTAAAATCCATGGGAATTTTAACTTTTCATTGTTATATCCAAATAATTTACGGAGTATAAGAACTTCATTAGGGAAATTACTTTTCATTTCCTATGAAATATAACTTCGTCGCGACGTTTTGCAGGAGAACAGGAAGGGAGAGTTATCTCCCTCTAAGTCCCTCGCGTAGGGCCGTTCTCAGTCTGGTGTTTCCAGCCGTCGTTGCCGCGGTTCAGGGTTGTGTGGGGTTTGGGCTTCTCGGGCGGGTCGGGCTTTCCTGTACGGTGGTTTGTGGGTTGGGTTGGTGAACGTCGGTGCTTGGATGGTGGTTCTCGGATTGGCTGCGGGGTCGTTTGCTAGGGTTTCGTTTGTAGTTCTCGTTTTTAATTTTCTGTCTGTTTCTTATTTTAGTCGTTGTGTGTGTTGTTCTTTAGGGTTTGTTATTTTTTCTTCTTGTGTGGTGTGTTTTGTGTGCTATGGGGTGTGCAGATCGGTGTGCCGATCTTCTGGTGCATGTTTTGAACCGGGTTTTTTTGGCTATGGGGTTTTGGTTTGATCTTCTGTTGGTTTGGGATGAAGGGTTATGCTTCCAAGCTGGGGTCCGTGTTTGAATCAGAGATTGTATTGTCAATGGTGAAGTGTATGGCACCAAGTTTGATTTCTGGTCGAGGAGTACGGGATTCTGAGTCAATGAAGGTTCACGTCAGAAACTACAACATATTGCCAGACCCCCTTGCAAGAGGCTGCATAGGACAGCGTTATATGAGCCAAGGGTATTTCATAAAGTCATTTTGCGCGTGCAATTGTAGTTTCCTTTATTTCGAACTTGTAATTGGTTCTTTTGTCTTTGTATTGTTCGATTACGATTTTTTATGTAAGTGCCGTATGACTTATTATTAATGAATTTTAATCTCCCCCCTTCAAAAAAAAAAAAATATAACTTCATACGAGAACTTATTTTTCATGTTAACTGAATGAGACCTTATCGAACCCGAGAAGACGGATTAAGGGTCTGTTCTCTTCATCTTATTTTCAGTTCAATTCATTTCAGCTCCAATAAGTTCAGTTCAACTCATTTCTTCATTTCCTTCTCTCAGTTTAGTTCAGTTCAGCTCCAATAAAGTTAGTTCAGTTCAGCTTAGCCAATTAGAATATTCCCTAAGATTAAACTTTGAACCCTTATTATTCTAAGGGAGACGGAAGAACTGACGATCCTTCCACTCGTTTAGTTTTATGTAATTAATCATTAAACAACCATAAGATTATACTTTTTTGTATACTCCACTGATTTTTAAATTGTTTTTCTATTGGTATTTAAAAATTCAATTCAAATTAAATGAAAAAATGTACTCTCCTCTTTGGTTTGTTAGAAGTACAAAGCTCATAAAGATGGCACATTATTAACGTATCACATTTATTTATACAATCCCCTATTCCCTTTTGAATTTGGTACATAATTTATCTTGAAAACATTTTCCTCGTAAAAGTAGTCCAAAATTTATTCACCTAATAACTCCTGCACACTAAAACTACCGTGACCCCCCATTTCTCATTTACTAACTTCAACTACCCAACCTGCCCCTGCCCCTTTCCCCTCCTGCCCGTTTCCCCCTTTTCTCTCTCCTCCTCCTATACCCACAATCCAACGGCCCACATTCAATCACCACCTCTTATCCCCAACCGTTGGATCCCCACAACATAGAAACACTCACCCAGGAAAATGACCATCCCCCTTCTCATTTTTATTAAATTAAAATTAAAAAATACGTGGCATTAGGATAGAGCCAGTCGCCAAACATTTGCCAATATAAGTAGCCCTCACCTCCCCCACACCCCTTCCTCCTTCTTTCTCACACCTAAAATATCTTCTTCATCTTTCTTTTTTTATTCTAGTGAGAGAAAGTAAGAAAGAAAACCAGTCTACTCAAAAATGGAGGACCAAGGAGGAGAGAGGCTCAAGGGTACTGTCAAGTGGTTCAATGACACCAAGGGGTTCGGCTTCATCACCCCTTCTGAAGGCGGCGAAGATCTCTTCGTTCACCAGTCATCAATCCGATCTGAGGGGTTCCGTTCCCTCGGTGACGGTGAAGAGGTTGAGTTCATCATCTCAACTGGTGACGACGGTCGTACTAAGGCTGTTGATGTCACTGGTCCTAATGAAGGCCCCATCCAAGGCTCCACTCGTCGCGGCGGAGGCGGCGGTGGTGGCGGTGGAGGGTATGGCGGTGGTGGTGAAGGAAGGAGATCTGGCGGTGGTGGATATGGAGGTGGTGGGTACGGCGGAGGAGGCGGTGGGTATGGCGGTGGTGGGTATGGAGGAGGAGGCGGTGGGTATGGCGGAGGAGGCGGTGGTGGAAACTGCTACAGCTGTGGTGAGGCAGGACACATGGCGAGGGAATGTCCTAGTGGTGGCGGCGGAGGTGGAGGAAGGTACGGCGGAGGCGGCGGTGGCCGAGGAGGAGGTGGTGGTGGTGGGAACTGCTACTCTTGTGGAGGTGATGGACACTTTGCTAGGGACTGTACTGCTGCTCCTTGATGAATGATGATGAATTTAAATGTTTTAAGGTTATTATTATTATTGTTATGGTTGTTAATTAAGTATGTTGGTTTTTGTTATAGGGTTTAATGAAAAATGTCTGTGGGTTGAGTTGGGGTTTGGGAGAAAATATTTTGTGGGGGTTTAAGATGTATTTTCTCTCTAATTTTTATTATTACAACTAGTTTGTCGGCTATGGTGAATTAGGGTATGATAAGAAGGGTAGTAGGAGTCTTTTTAAATTTTATCTACTTTTGAAGAAAAAAAAAATCAAGAATGGAGATGTGTTTTAACAGGATATTTTAGATGAGATTGTGCTTTGTCATCCTTTTGATCTCTGTTGAAAAATGTCAATATTAATGAAATATACTTCCTTCCCTTTTTTTTTTTTCTTTTTAAATATTTTGTTCCTCGTTTATTTTATTTGTTTCCTTTGTTTTGGATTAATTGCTTGATTTCGTTCTGATTTTGTTAATGAATAATATTCGTAGCACATTTTTTGCTCAATGTCTTTTTACTGTTTTTTTTAAAAAAACGTTGATGTTGGAAATGGAATATCCATGTAAGTTGGGCCGGGTTTTGTTTTACTAATCTTGACCCAAAGAAAAATATGCAGATGGCTCAAAACTTTAGTCTCTCCTATTGGTACAAAAAGACTTGCGTGGACCTGGTCCACAATAATATTATTGTAACCCGAGGTCTATACACACGCAACTGACATTATATTGAACATAGTGACCATTATTTTTAACCTAGTAACCTTATTTTTAACCTAGTAACCTTTATTAAAACTACTACAACGTTTAATAATATTGTGAACTTGAAATATGACGCTATTACCCTAATTTTAACATAGTGGCCTTTATTATTCATATTGATCAGTATATAAAATATTTCATTACAAAAATAACCACTTAGGCATATATATTACCAAAATAAATTTTTATTTCAATATAGTGACCTTTTTTTTTATTATAGTGATCTTTTTTTTTATTAATAAAACAACCATACTTTCTCTAATGTTAGTGGTCCACAATAAATTAGTGTGAACCAGGTTTATTTAAGAATTTGTACTATCGGTAAGCTTCAATTACTTTATTGCCTAAAATACCTTGCTTAATTAGTGGTAAGCCAATAAAGACATTGTTTTATGTAATTGGCAATTTGGCATAATCAAATAATTGTTCATCTTGAAAGAAGCAAATAATTTGGATTTTGAAATACTGCTGTCTAGGTTGGAATTTGTACCACATACAATAGCTCTTCCCTTGAGGTTCCTATGTTGAAGAGTATATTAATAAACTTGAATGCTTGATGTAACGGAAAGACTAGATAGTCCATTTTCTAGGGAAGTATTATATTCTTCTCTAATTAATTTTCTGCTTCGAAAATGTTAGTTTTGATTTTGAAATTGGTTTGTTGTTGTTGAAACTTTTTTCGAAGAGTGACACACTTTGACTCCTAGGCGAGTCCTAACAATCTATCAAAAGGTTTGTTACACACGAGCAAAGTATGGAGCTAATGTGGAAGCATGTGTGTTTGATAATTACTACTACCTCCATTACAGGTTATATGTGCAACAATTAGACATTTTTCATCTATGCTTTACGTTAAATCGTTACACATAACATGTAACGGAGGTAGTATAACAGTAAGGGCCTGTTCCGATTGACTGAACTTAGCTGAACTGAACTGAACCGAGCTGAACTGAGCTGAACTGAACTGAATCGAGCTGAACTGAACTGAACTGAACTTATTAATTAGTGATTTTTAACTACGGATTAGTGATCTTTGATTATTTATTGATATTTATTACTATACATATGTGTATATACAAATGTACATATTAAAATATTTGCGAAAAATATACTATATAATTATAATTATAAAATGTATTGAAAATATATTATAAAATGTATGAAAAATATATTAAAAACTTGAAACCTCTAAACATTTTAAACACATATACTATTTACGATCCTAACAGAAAAGCAGCTATGGATATTGTACGACAAGAAATAACTGATCAGATATGGGAGTCAGTTCAGAGGAATGCTGAGGTAATGGAGGAGTTTGGTGGACAAGAAGAAGACGAAGAACTAACTGACTATGAAAATTAGTTTAAGTTGTGTAGTACTCTAATTTTCTCAATGAGATTAACATTAGAAATATGTTTCAAAAAAATAGAACCATTTGAACAATGAATTGTATCAATATTATTATTGTTATTATTATTATTATTATTATTATTATTATTATTAATTATTGATAATTATTATTATTATTTATTGATTATTATTATTATTATTATTATTATTATTATTGTTAATATTATTATTATTTATTGATGATTATTATTATTATTATTTATTGATTATTATTGTTAGTATTATTATTATTATTTCAATTATTATTGTTATTATTATTATTATTATTATTTTTGTTGTTGTTGTCGTTGTAATAAGATCTTAAAAGAATGTAATTTGGTTTTATATCATTAGCAATATCATTAGACATAAATTAAGAGCTGAACTGAACTGAACTGAACTGAACTGAGCTGAGCTGAGCTGAACTGAACTGAATTTCAACGGAACAGAACAGGCCCTAAATACTAACTCCGTTATATACTATGTGTAATGAGAGAAAAAATATCTAATTTAGAGGGAATTTCCAAATAATGGGCATCTTATCACTACTAGTATCATGCCATTTGTTCGTAGGACCATTGAATTGAGAACAAGAAACATTCATTCTAAATCATGAGTCCCATAGGAGTGTTGTAAAGAATCATGGAAATATGGAATGAGAGAGACTAGAGATAAGGATTGTATCACGTTTTACCATTGTAATAATATTTTATTACAAGCATCAAAAATTTCATTAAAACTACTTCCATGGTGTTTGGGGTGTCAACTGTATTATGCCACAGATTGTTTAAAATTACAAAAATTTCTTGGTACATGTTTATGTCGTGTATATATCATGTATCTAGAAGACAAATATGTGACTGGTCAAAGCGTAACAGTATGAAAACGAAAAGGATAAATAAACTGTGCTGAAATTTACTTATGTAAGTAATGTAACCACTATTTGAAAAACAGATAGCATATGCACTAAATAAACTACGAATACTCCGTAATAAAGGAAGAAGAAAATACGGAAGATTGGAGAAAATCTTGAAAGGACAAGGAAAAATGGATATGAAAGACTGGTCAAAGGGAAGAAGACAAATATACCCTATCAATTTGGGGGAACTATGAATGCATGTCAGTATGCCACCACCCCTCAACTGCTGCAAACAAGGTGCGACCATATCCTATTTTTGTGTGTGACCCAAAAACTGTGTCTTCGTCCTTCTTTTTACTTACTACAATTACTATAGAGTATAGACTATAGTCAATGTTAATAAATATCAACCCAAATTATTTGACACCACTAAACAATTATTACAAAGTAGTGTATAATCTCTGTGTTATTTAACACCCCATCATAATAGTTTGTCTATTTTATTTTTATATTAATATTGATCAAAACTAAAGTATTTATTTATACGGTGTTATAATACTCCACCTAAAAGTCCCTCTCTACTCTCTAGGGTGAGTGAGTCCCAAGCTAGGGTTTGTGAGTGCGTTTTCCAGTTTTTCTTCTCTCTCTGAGTGATCGATTTTCAATAATTTTTCTAGATTCCTTCTTGTATTCGATTGCTGATGTCGAATATGGGAGATGAACTTGTTAAATAATTTTTGGGGGGTTTCTTGGAGGCAGATGATTCTGATCCATTGGGGTGGGGAGAGTGTGTTCGCATTAAGGTGCAAATAGATATCAATAAACCCGTTGAGGAGGGGTTTGTTCCTAGCCATGGGTAAAAATCAATCCCGATGGGTGGATATCAAGTATGAACGTTTGGCGGATTTTTGTTTCTTTTGTGGGAGATTCGAGCATACAGAGAGGGAGTGTCAACACAAAGAGCAAGAGAAAGAGGATACTGTTAAAATGGTGTATCAATATGGCCCCTGGCTTCGTGCTTCTCCAAGAAAGAAAGTTAAACTAGACATGGCTGAACGAGAAGTTGAGAAGACTTGGGTGGATCGGATTAAAAGTGCTGCAGCTTTGAAGATGTACAGCGATCCGGATGTGACATGAGCAGTGTGAAAAAGGAAAGAATTGTAAAAGAAAAAGAAGCTGAACTTATTGCAGTCTTAGATAGTAGTAGTAAAAAGATGGTGTTGCGTACTGTTGGGACTGCTATGATTGAGGAGGGTGAGGAAAAAAACTTAATGGGGGGGAGTGTAGGCAGGGGTGGGAATAAAAATGGAGAAGAAGTGAATGAAAAGGAGGAAGTTAAGGTGACAAATAATGAGAGTATGTTGCATACTAATATTATAGAGGGGGGGATGATGATGGATATGCAGGAGAGTATGGAGGGGCTGGGGAATACAAAAAATACTAGTGATTTAAGGGTGGAGAAGGAAGAAAAGGGCAGAGGTCTAAGAAAGGTAGTGATAAATAAAGGGGGGAGGAAAAAGGATGGGGAGGGGGATGTATGGTAGGAGCTAAAAGGGGAATTAGGGAGGAGGAGCAGGAGAGTGGTGATATGATAATGCATGATGAAGAAGAGTATGCTGAAATTAAGAAGAGAAGAATTGAGGAAGCTAATGTGAATGTGGCGGGCCCCACTACATGGGCTCTCGGTGAACAATGAATTACATTTTATCTTGGAATTGTCGAGGTTTGGGGAGCCCCTCGGCAATTAGTGCGGTGAGGAATGTAATCATCCTTGAAAAACCCCAAATTCTCTTCTTATCGGAAACAAAGTTGAAAAGAAATGAGATGGAGAAAGTAAAAAATAAGCTTCACTTCTCTAACTTACTTGCTGTAAGTTGTGATGGGGAAGGTCGTAAGCGGAGTGGTAGTCTAGCTTTGTTGTGGAAAGACATGGTGGAGGTGGAAGTGAAGTCTTACTCTTTGAACCATATTGATTCTTGGGTTAAAATGTCAAACAAGCAAGGGTGGAGATTTACGGGAGTGTATGGACATCCGGAAGCTGAAAACAAGCACAAGACTCGTCTGTTAATGGAAAACTTGAGAGGTGATTCCACTGCTCCTTGGCTTTGTGGGGGTGACTTAAATTTAATGCTCATGTCTTGTGAGAAGAAGGGCGGGAGATTTTGAGGGGAGCTTTAGCATCGTGCGACTTGGCAGATTTGGGATATGTGGGCCATGATTTTACTTGGACCAACAATCAAGGGGGAGATTATAATGTGCAAGAGAGATTGGATCGTTTTTTAGCAAATAAAGAGTGGAAAGACCTCTTTACTGGATCTTTTGTGTCGCATTTGGCTAAACGGAAGTCTGATCATTTACCAATTCTTCTTTGTATTGAT